CTCGTCTCGGTCCTAGGCACCTACTTCCCTTTCCTATCCTTGCTGGGCAATAAGGCATCATTCTCCAGTTCTGTAACTTTTAAAAGTTTCTCTTTTAGGCAAAATTTACCAAGCCACAAATTACAGGCTGAGCGGGGCAGCTGGAGCTGAAGCCCATACTCAGCCAACAGGTGAGGAGGATTTTCAGTGTGTTTTAATCCTAAGCAGCCACTAAGCTGAGACTTCCATTTTCGCTGTTAATGGAAATCTCAGACTTAATTGTTTGGGGGTGGTGTCTTATGAGACAGGGTCTTGCTATGTGGACCCAAACAATCTTTTCCTCAGCCTCCTGAGCGCTGGGATCATAGGAATGTACTGGCACACCAGACAAAAATCTCAGAATTTTAAGCTCAAGTTTGATAAGGGCTTCCATAGTGAAGTTTAAAGTGCAAAAATAAATTTCAAGAACCACATGAGCAAAAATAAAGCAAGAAACATAATGGCTTCCATGGTGAAGTTCAAAGTGCAAAATTAATTTTCAAGAACCACAAGAGAAAAATCGAAGGAAGAAAGGAGGAAGGGAGGGAGGGAGGGAGGGAGGGAGGAAGGAAGGAAGGAAGGAAGGAAGGAAGGAAGGAAGGAAGGAAGGAAGGAAGGAAGGAAACAAAAAGGCCAGTGGACAGAAAGCCCCATTAAGGCCCTTTGGGAGGCGCGGACAACAGCCGAATGGCCCTCTCAATACCACAATTAGGTGACTTGCTCAGCCTCTGTCAGCGTTTCCTGTGGGAGAAGAAAGAGAAGCAATATTTAACGCAACCACTAATAAGCCGCCTCCACTGGGGGCTGGTGAAGTCCAAGCCACCAGCTGGGCTGCTCCATCAGCAGCAGGGTTAGTCTCCAGGCCTCTGAGAACCGTCTGCTCCACGCAAGTGTCCACATGTGTGTGGGAGGGAAATCCAAACGCATCCCGAGACACGTAGGTTTCAATGGTGGCCTGAGCCCGAAGCTATAGTGAATACAAGAGGCAATGTTTCTCCAAGTGCTGGGGTTTCCCTACCACCGTTTTTACACTATTTTATTTGTAACAAGATACACACCACAGGTTAAGGAGAAACCATAATTACTTGAAGCAATGAAATTATTTTGGGGCAAAGAAAAAGAAAGTGAAGACATTCAAAGAAACAGGAATAAAATCGGAACAGAGACAAATGAAAACAGAATCAATTCTTTCTCTCACTAGCCTTGATGGCTCTCTAAAGGAAAAATCTAGAACAAGAATGTCAACTTTCTATAGCTGTATTAGAACAACAACAACAAAGACCCAAATGCTGAATGACTTAAAAGACTGACTCACTGGCACCCCTGCATGGGAGAATCTCACCAGGACGATGGGACTGGACTAGCCTGGATACTTAACCAGGGGTTCAGCAGTCAGCACCTTGGCAAAGCACAGCTGTCACCCTAAGGACACAATGCCACTTCACGGTGTGAAAAGAAAAACTAAAACCCCTGGTCTGTTCAAATCAAAAACATCTCAGCCTTACCCTCAACAGATCTCCAGAACTGTCCTGTGAATAGCTGGTAAGATTCTTGGCTGAAGAGGAGAAAGGACACGAAACTCAGAGTCGCATCTAGCCAGCTCTCCACCTCCCCATCCCCTTTAGGTTAGAGCACATTACAAAGTAACAGAGCTGCGCCAGGAATGGCTTCTGTCTTTATCTTACACCAACCAGGAAATGACCGAAGACAGGAAGATGGTTTTCAAAGGATGCAGACAAACTGAAAACTCATCTCTAGAAAGACAGACAGATGGCCACATGGATAAACGAGTCACAGAGTTTTCAGTGATGGAGAATGACTGGAGTCAGTGTGCCGGCTGCTGAGAGGAGGACGCCAGCACGACGGTGCCCGCCCACACTTGCTTCACTCACAGAGAGCTGCTGAACAGCGGACGGCTGTGAAGTTTCTCGGGAAGAAGCGTGGGGGGGCTATGGCAAAGGCTAATCTCTGGATAAGAAAAAGGCGGACTCAAGGAAGAGTCCTACCTAAACAGACCTCTACTCACTTTAGACTTGAAGGAGAAGGCCAAGTGAGCTGAGGCAGGAGTTAGGGACCCAGGGAAAGGCACTGAGTGCCGGCACGGAACTCAAGCACACAGCCATGCAGGAAAAGGAAAAGAACTGGGAAGTGGGGACCAGAAGCAGAACGGGCAGAGACTACTGAAGAGCAATGGGAAAGAGGACTTTTCGGTCACAGCCTCTCTCAGTGAACCACGAGCTGCAAAGCTTACCGAGCCGATGGCGTGGGGCTGCAGCAGAGCTGGGCAAATGCTGGCAGGCTGGCACAGCGGAGCGAGAGTGGGGCGGCTGCGGAGGACTCATGCCCGCAGTGCTCCAAACCGTGATCCTAGGTGCGAGAGTACTTTCCGTGCTCAGACCCCTCCGCTTTCCAGACGTCGGACACACAAGTCCCTTGGCTTGGAGGAGTCGCTTTCGTTACTAATGTGACATTAAATATTCGCTGTGGACCATGAGAACCGAGACACACACACCCAAGGGTCTAATTTGTACAAATTGCTTGCACGGTACTTTTTACTCTCCAAGACCCCCAAGTCCGTTTCAGTTCTGGCTAAAAGAAAACTCTGTGTCTGTATATAAGCTGTTCCTAAAAACACCCAAAAACAAACACCCACATCCCACCTGGTGTGACAAACAGCAGAGGATGTCGATACCAGAGCTGACGGGGCCCAGCGAGGATGCCAGGGGAAGGGGGATGGACTCTTAGCCCAGAGCAACCTGTAACAGTGTCATTTTCAAAGGATCCACTAGAGTCACCCGGAAATAAAGCTAGAAGAGGGACAAGAAGTGTCCAGCAAAAACACAAGAATGCTAAATAACCTCACAGGTGGCCTGATCCCATCAGTCCTTCCCAAGTGAAATCCTAGCAGGAGAGAGAGCCCTTCACAGTTCCAGACAAGGTAATCCTAAAAACATACATTCTAAACCCACACAGCGTAATATGGAGCGAACACAACGGTCAGTTCCGGGAAAATCTAACGTCACTATATCATATTTAAAAATACACAAAATGATCTATCTTCCTATGGACCAACATATTAGCATAAAGTATGCCTGGAGATAAATGTCAAATCCAGAATGGTGGTTACTGATGGGAATGTAATCAGAGGAAAATACGTACGGTTTTACTTTATTTGCTTCCTTTCTTAAACTAGGAGATGGACACAAAAGTGTTTGCATATTATTCCCTGGTCTTTACATGACTTAAATATCCCCACAAAATACAAAATGCCTTCAGAGACAAACACGTTATTGCTTGATCAAGCTGCAGGTTTGAAGCCACGCCTCTTTCCCTGGTGCTGAAGTTCCTCTAAGAGGTCAGCTGGCCATCCCAGGAGCGGGCACAGGGAGGGAAGCCGCATGGTTCTGGCGCCATCCATATTTAGGGACCCTCAGAAACCTCCAGCTAAGCGGGCCAATCCACACGGAGAACCCTCGGGGAAGACCATGAGGCAGATGGAGGCTCAAGCTCAAGGACAAAACTGTGTAAGTTCAAAACACAGGAGTGTGTACCCATCGGAGACTCGCACTGGAGCTCCCTTAGACGCCCTCATCAGCAGGAGCTCAAGCCCCTTATAAAGATAATATGGCACGGAATCTGCGTGGAACCCACACCATATGCCCTATAATCATCTCTGGATCACTTATGACGTGTAATACGACATAAATGCCAAGAAGACAGGCACTCAGTTTTTAAAGAGAGGGCCTGCAGTCCTTCTCTAGCTGCTGTCGCCAAGTCCAGCATCTTCAATGGTCAGTCACGAGGAACTGCTCCAAGTTCCCAATCAAGAGGAATAAACCAGCCCAAGCACCTGAAGATCCTAAGTTCCTTCCAGTAGAATGGGCTGATTCACCCCAAGACTATGAAATGGAGCCCACTGCCGAGGCAGCGCTGCGGTGCTCACAAAGCTGAGATCGCCAGTGCAAGCCAACCTGTACAAGAGCGGACAGCAACCACAGCTCACGCCCGGGGCATCGGTGCGCGGTGGCCATCCTGTGGTGGGGCAGAGGAGGCACATCTGCCCGCTAAGCGCTCCTAGGCCTGAGCCCCAGAAGCAATGGAGTCTGCTGACTTTTTCAACCGCTAAAACCAAAAGAGAGACTGTCAGGAAGAAAGGGTCTCCTGCCCAGTAGAGACAGAGTTCCTTGGCTCAACGTTTTCAACTGTAGCTGCTTCTACAGATGGGGCCACAGACACCAAGACAGAGATTCTTACAGAGCAAACAGCATCAGTTCCTTGCACGGGAGAACACAGTCCTGCAGGGAACACACGGCAGGACACTTCCACACAGATGACAAAAGGCACCGCCCTGAAACACGAAGCGGCTCTGGTCACGGTGGCCACGCGCCACCCTTCCTTCGGGGCTCACCGGGAGAGCCCATGCGGCTGTTGCCGTCTGCCGCTGCATCGCACAGCTAATCTTTCGAGAGAGATACTCGGGGCAAATGTGCGTCATAGGAAGCAAGTTCAGACACTAAATCCAACTCTCAGAACCTGCTCCTTAGAAAGAAAGTCACTTAGAGAGAAGGGGCTGTTAACATGCGTGAAATACTCCGGGCTGCTACGGTCTGGACCTGGGAAGCACCCTGAAAACGACGCAGGGCTGAAGGCTGTCCCCAGAGCCTGCTGGGACGTCTCCTCGTCACTGAGGGGGAGAATGGGGCTCCAGCCGCCCCCTCTTTTGCCGTGAGTTCTGCACTGCCACCCACCCGACCCCGGCAGTGCTTCGGGTCAGGTTCCGGACCCCGGGAGACCAAGGACTGATCCTTTCAAATCAAAGCGAACCTTTTCTCTTGAGACAGTGACTGCTACAGGTACTAGCTACGGCGAGCGAAGGCTGACTAACATACGAGCATTCCTGTGCTCTTTCCCTTTTGCACACGCATGTACGAATACATGCAAACTTTCCCCTCGGGCACACAAAGTGCATGGAAGTCACTCACCAGGGCTTTCCACTCGCTTATAGTGGTAGGGGTTGATGCAGACCTCTTTCTGCTTGGAACCAAATGGAAACTCACAGCATTCCAGGGGTTTCAGTTCGTGGTGGCTCTGCAGGTCCGGCCAGCGCCACACGCGGCAGTAAATGACGTGTGGCAGTCCCTTCCGGTGGGACACCTGCAGCCTGCCGTCCAGGGAGCGGGGGATGGTGACACAGTTACTGGGCTGCCCTGGGCAGCTCAGGGCCTTCTCCAGCTCTTCCATGGCCCCTTTCTTCTTCTTCAGTTTTTTCACCAAAGCGTCCACAGCTTTCTCTGCCCATTTTTCTTCCTCGTCACCCTGCTTCCACCCTAGGAGTCTCTTCACAGCTGGACTTGTGAAGGAAAACAAACTGGTCACATTCATAGCGACTGGTCGAGTTCCACACACTCCTCAGACGGTGAGGCTCACAGCTCCAGCAGGGTCGGGCCGAGAGAACACAGCTTCTTCACATAGGTTCTCTTTAGCCTCTCGGTCTGCGCTTCTAAAAGGTAGAAAATGCAGTTCCTCCCGTTCCAGCTAGCACCTGCAGAGGAAAAGAGAAGAAGCGGCTTTAAAATCAACTCTAGACAAGTCACAATTAGCTACATGCTGGAGACTGCAGAGGGGGTCCCGGCTCACGTTGTTCAGCCTCACAATTCAGCGGCTTTATTAGAGAGATGCAACGCCATGCTGAACTCATAAGCATAGTCTATGATGACAGGAACTGAACTGTGTTCTCCTAAAATTCCCAAGTTAAAGGCCCAGTGACCATCGCAACCACTGAGACCAACTGTATTTGGGCTTGGAGCCTCTAAGAAACTCACTAGGGTTAAATTAGATTATATGGGTGGGGCCTCGAGGCAACAGGATTGACAGCCTTAGAGGAGGAAGAGAATAGATGAGCACAGCGGCACCCAGGCCCTGGACAAAGGTCATGTGAAGTGTTTCCAGCACAGCGATCAATTTGCACATCGCCACCACCACCTGTGCATGCCAGTGACAAGCCTCAACAGACAACAGGCAGAAAACTGCACAGAATCAGAACAACTCTTGCATGCCAGTCGGTCCTATGGGAGACTGACATATTAACTGAGAAGTAAGAACTGACAGCTACAGAAGAGTACAGTGTAACACGAGACCAACTTTTATATGCAAAACCAGCATAGGACGGAGTAAAATCATCTGGAGGATCAGACTTCGGGGGCAGAGGTCCTAGCTCAGCGCCTAAAGTGCTGGCCTCGTAAGCAGGAGGGGCTGAGTTCGAGACTCAGAGCCCACACTAAGAGTTCTGTGTCCTCCCTGAGGAGGACGTGGCAGCTCTCTGAACTTGCTGGCCGGCCAGCCCCGGCCAGTTGGCAAGCTCGGCTCAGTGAGGAACCCTGTCTGGAGAATGCCAAGGTGGGCCAGGCCTGATGTCTGCGAGGTGCGCAAACAATCACAGTAACAAAGGACACTAAACGACCGACCGCTCAGTTCTAACACAGCGAGGAACGCAACAACGATATCATTATTGGAAACAACCACATTTCAACCATGAGTCAAAGAAGAAATTACAGGAGACAAAGTATTTGAACTGAATGATTGTAAAAATGTGACGCCAAATATAGTAAGATGTGACAAGCTGTAATCATATGGGAATTTATAGCTAAAATCCATTTACTGGAAGAGAAAAAAGGCTGAAAACCTAGTTCTATGTAACCAACATGGGAGGTGGACGGCAGTTTAAGTCCAAAGGAAAATACAAGGAACTGGGAAATTATTTTTTTAAAGTGTACTAGAGAAAACCTATGAAGTCAAAACCAACAAAATTGTGTCTTTTAGCAAGGCTGGTCAATAAAATAGAAAAGTCACAAATGACTCACAACAGAAGGAGCTGAGGAAAACCTGGTCGTCAAACTTAAAGCAATGATGACGAATGGTCCTGGCAGCTAAGCGGGCTAGCTTCCGTCTTCATCCCTGGAGGAACCAATCTGGCCACGCCATCTCAGTGTCCCTATCTTTGGAGCACAGCACGGTACCTGGTACTGGACAGACTCAGTAAATGTGCAGTGACTAACTCAGCTCCAGGAAGAGTGATACTGAGATGAAAAGATTCCATATTCCCCAAGTTCCTCCAACATGAAGGCTGCACTTCGGTCAACAGAGAACTACTTGTTCTCTTTAAAGAGCTTCCCCCAAATTTACTAGTTATTTTGAAGTTTTCATTTAACTGGAAAGGAGAGAGAACAGAGTTAAGCCACTATCAGAAGTCTCACTTGATTAGCAGACACCTATTGATACGGTGATTCGCTGATCAGTAAATCGTGGGGGGGGGGGTTGTGTTATTCTGTTTTGCTTCAGAACTGGAAAGACTGGTTCTTTCCAGGTCTCCAGCAGCAAATTAGAGAGGCCTTGACTTTCTTCCAGGCCCCCAAATAAACTTTTAATATTTAGTAACTGACTTTCAAATAGGAGGGATTATTTATCTCAAAGACACTTGAGCGTTATTTTCTGATGAGGGTTTACTATAGGAAATGAGTGTGTTGGGGTGGAGGGGTACCTAAGCACCACCACTGTGGATCTTTATGACCCTCAAAACAGTCTCCTACATACCTGGGACATAGCGGGTCGGGGGAGCAGTGACGCCCGGAAGAAGCTCGAAGTTTAAGGGCCGAACACGGTGAAAACATCCCTGCAACGCGTACTGAGCAAGTGGCTAATCCAATGCCAGGGCCCAGGACTGCGCAGTGCCCTCTGCAGCTACTCCAGGCCTCTGCCAGGAGGAAAGCTGACACAGCACCTAGGTGATGTGCTGTTGACATCACGCAGAAGCAAGGCTGACAGGCACGCGTGTCCCCAAAGTCTTACTCTGAAATCCCAAGTCCTTATAGTATGAGGAGGTGTCCCCTGGGAGGGGGTCAGGCCACGGGAATAAAGCCTCCACTGAAGATACTGCACGGGATCTAACATTGGGACATTACAGGCCACGGTCCAGCCTGTTACAGAAGCTTGGACGGGTGAAGTCAAACACCAGGACAGAACAGACAAGACGAAAGGGAGTGAAGAGTGAACTCCAGGATTTCAGGAAGTTGTTCCAAAGAGGACGCCTCAGACAGCCTGTGAGAGACAGGAGTGAGACAGCGTCCTGAGCGCCCCCCCCCCCCCGGTGCAATCCTCCAGCAAACCCTGAAAGGGGCTTCCATGGTCTTCACTTTAGACATGAGAAAGTGGAATTCTGAAGAGTTAAGTGTTTTGTTTCATGCTCTGTGTCCGTCTGTGAGAGGCAGAGAGGCAAGGTGTGAAGGCCTTTTCCCCAAGTCTACTGCACAGACTGCTGAAATGCCACCCTAACCTGCCTGCCTGCAGACCAGGGGCAGGTATCCACGGTCTGGAGTGGCAGAGCTGAAGCAGCAGCAGCAGTGGACAGTGTATTGGCAGGAGGCTGAGGCCAGGCCTGGATGTGACTCAAAGGTAGTGCCTTCAGGGAAGCAGGGTCTCTCAGAACCACTTGGGTGCAAAACAGTGGTCATCCGTGCAGCTGAGGTCTGGACGGCGCTCTCAATGATAAACCAAAATGGTCACAAGCCTCGGAACGTAAGCATGATGGCCACAAAAAGTGCAGACCGACAACGCTTACGGGAGAGAGCTAAGGCTTTTCCAGCTGCCAGCCAAACAGGCAGCTCACATGAGGGACTCCAACATGAGTTCTACACACTTGGCAACACAACCAGATTTTTTCCTGTCCCTTTTTGTACTTCCTGCCTTAGTTTATGTCAGAAGCTAACTGGCCTTATCAGTTTAAAGCGCAACGTAAAACCATGAGTCAGCACACAGAGATTTCCTTCCCTCCTGTGCAAATACAAACATTTCACACTCACCAAGGGGGGGGGGGGATCATCCGGTAAGGAACACTCCAGTCAACCCAGCCACTTCACCAGAGCTTACATTTACCTGCAGAGGATATTCTAAACTGGCAAAGGGGGAAAAAAAAGAATAAAACTTCACACCAAAATTTTCAGCGTAATTATCTGTCACTGGAAAATAGCTGTGCACACATCCACGGGGGGCTTTATCAGCCCTGACGCTGTGCTCACAGACCCGCTGGAGCGCAGGCAGTGGTGCAGAGTAAGTGGGGACACAGTGGGCACGCCGAGTATGCCCACAGTAACAGCAGCTGGAGCTCACAGAACGATGTCTCCCTCCCACTTCCCCAAACTTTCCAAGCAGTCTCTACAAAAAGGTTTTGAAACTTCACTATACAAATATTTGCTAACTAAACAACAACAGAAAGCTGGAACTGGAGAGCGCGCGCGCGCGCACACACACACACACACACACACACACGCACGCACGCACACACACATGCACACACTAAGGAGCTGAAGCTGCCTATATCGTGTACTCCTCAGTCAGGTGGGTGAGAGAAAGCAGGAGAGATGATGGCTCAGCAGTTGCGGCTGGTACTCCCCTTGCAGAGACCAGCAAGCCCCAGGGGACCCAGTGTCTCTAGCCTCACGCCTCTGTGGGGCCCTGCCTTACGCACATATAGGATTGGCGTGTGACCCACTCCAGAAATAAAAGGGTTCTTAAAGTGGTTCTCAAGCCAGAAAAAGTCAGCACAGGAAGGTCTTCAGTCAGTACCACTGCAGACCAGGTCAGACAGCAGAGTATCCATCTTTAAATGGCTAACTTTGAAATTTATGGACTATTCTTTATCATAAAAGGGGGTGAAGTTTAAATACTCTTAATTGCCGAGTAATTTGCTTTGTGTTAGAGGAAACTCAATCAACCAATTGCACAATGGACAGTTTCCTTATCTCTGGCTCATCTGGTAAAGAAACATGTAATTAGCTAATTGTGTAAATATCAGCAAAATGCAGTGTCTGCATTCAATGCCGAGTTCCTTCAGAAAGTTTTGACAGGCTGGCTAGCTTGTATCTGAAGACACAGCTGGCCCTCCATGTCTGTGAGTTCTGTACCTGTGGATTCAACCAACAGCTGATAGATTAAGAAAATGCAGGTGGGCAGGCAGGACGGCTCTGTGAGAAAAGTGCCCCCGAATCTTGGCAATCTGAGTTTGATCCCTGGAACTCACAAAAGGAGGAGAAGAGTGACTACACACACACCACGGGCTGTGTGTCCACATACACGCATCATCCATACATGCACACACGTTCATTTTTAAAGTGTGGGGGCATGGAACACTTCACGTTCCTTGAACAGTGGAGACCTCTTTGCAGAGCATCCCTACAGAGTTAAGGAACAGTGTAAGCAGCCCAGAAAGATGGGCAGTTACGGAGGCTTACCTCAGAACCCTGGAGTCTGAGATCTCCACAGGCCCAAAGGCCTGAGGGGGCCTTCAATAAGATGGAGGGAAACGAGACACGTAAAGATGGTCACTCTTGGTCTCAGCTTGGACAGAGAGCTAGCTGTCTGTGGATTCTTACCTGGACATGGAAACCAGTGGACTAGACAGAAAACATGATTTCATATGTATAGAGGGGCTAATTAAATTTTCAAGTAAGATAGTCTAGAAAAATGACTGAGAAAAGTACAATCAAAGGC